CCCGCCCCCGCCCCCGACAGCCACTCGCGCCTTCTCCACCGCCACCTACGACGCCACCATTGCCAACCTCAATGTTACCAAGGACACCAAGGTCATCTGCCAGGGTATGACCGGTAAGCAGGGTACCTTCCACACCGAGCAGGCCATCGCCTACGGCACCAAGATGGTCGGTGGTATCTCCCCCACCAAGGCCGGCACCGAGCACCTCGGCCTTCCCGTCTTCGCCACCGTCGAGGAGGCCCGCAAGGCCACCAACGCCGATGCCTCCGTCATCTACGTCCCTCCCCCTGGCGCTGCCAAGGCCATTCTCGAGGCTGTCGAGGCTGAGGTCCCCCTGATTGTCTGCATCACCGAGGGTATCCCCCAGCAGGATATGGTCCGCGTACGTGACTGGCTCCTGCCTCCCCCAAGCCTCCCTTATCGCCACCCGTTTGCCATCCCCTGACCAATCCATGCCCTGCTCCCCGCCCTCCTCCATCCGGCCCGCACCCTCGTGCTCTCCCCTCTTGCCCCTCTCCTCCCTGTCCCCCTCGCTTGCGCGTACCGACACCACAGGTCAAGCAGGCCCTCCTTACCCAGAACAAGTCTCGCCTGGTTGGCCCCAACTGCCCCGGTGTCATCCGCCCCGATGCCTGCAAGATCGGTATCATGCCCGGCCACATCCACACCCCCGGCCGCATTGCCATTGTCTCTCGCTCCGGCACCCTGACCTACGAGGCCGTGGCTCAGACCACCGCCGCCGGCCTCGGCCAGACCCTGTGCGTCGGTATCGGTGGTGACCCCTTCAACGGCACCAACTTCATCGACTGCCTGAAGCTCTTCCTCGCCGACCCCCAGACCGAGGGTATCATCATGATCGGTGAGATCGGTGGCTCCGCCGAGGAGGAGGCCGCTGACTTCCTGCGCGAGTTCAACTTCTCCCTGCCCAACCCCAAGCCCGTTGTTTCCTTCATCGCCGGCCGGACTGCTCCCCCGGGCCGCCGCATGGGTCATGCCGGTGCTATCATTGCCGGTGGCAAGGGCGGTGCCGAGGACAAGATCCGCGCCCTCCAGAACGCCGGTGTCGTGGTCGCCGACTCCCCGGCTCGCCTTGGCTCCACCATGCTGGAGCTCATGCAGAAGCTCGATGCCCAGAAGAAGTAAGCTCCCCAGCCTCACTGACCGCGTGGTGGCCCCCTCCCGCATGGGTGGCTGACAGGTGCGCGTGAGTGCGCATCTGTCACGCGTCTTCCCCTCCCCCCCCCACTCCCCCCCACTCCCATATGTGTTCCCCCACAGCCGGGAGAAAAAAAACATACACGTAAAACACATACATAGCTCTTCCCCCCTTTCTGCCCTCTGGCACCGGCCATTTTCATGATCGGATGGCAGGGGGTGCTCTCCCCCTCCCCGCCTCTCTCCCCTTCTCCCCGTCTCTCCTCCTGCCCGCGGTGTGTCCTATCTCCCTGTCCCCCACGCCGCGGCGTGGGCAGCTCATACACCCCTCTCTATATACATACATATATACATATACACCTCCGCATATGGGGGCGCACAAAGGTGGGCCACCATTTTGACTCCTCCGGGCGTAGGAAGGGCAGCGGGGGCATAGGCCTCCATCATTCCAAACACGCTCCCGCACACGCATGGGTGGCAGCAAAAGCTCTCTGCGAAACATCATCTATAACAAGAGGACATGAAGGGGGGGGGGTCCAGGGCGGAGGGAGGGAGGAACACACACGCGCACAGCGCGTGGCAAGACACACCTGTACACCTACACACACACACACACATACACCGGTTGTCTTTTCCTCAACCACATGCACAGAGAGGGTTTGTTCTCCTTCGATAGAGAACAGCGGGCGCAATCCCTCTTGCCGTCTATGCCGTGAGCGCGCGTAGGGGTATGAGCAAGCACATATCCATACACACGCTTTCCTCGGTCCTTCTTGGCTTGCATTCGCACGTAAACGCATGTGGCCGCATGTGTCACGGCGAAAAGTCAAGAAGGGGAGAGAAAGGAAGGGGGGCGGCCTGGCGGATGGACACGCTCAAGAGCATGTGGGCGCGCGAACACCACATTGCGTG